AGAGAGAGAGAGAGAGAGAGAGAGAGAGAGAGAGAGAGAGAGAGAGAGAAAATTCGCTGGAGAGAGAGAGAGAGAGAGAGAGAGAGAGAGAAATCGCTGTATATAGCTCGTTATGAACGTGTGTTGACATTAGTTGGGTGCTGATGGTCTCATGTTTGCGCAGGACCCCTCTGGTTTTCGGAAAAGAAAACAGTTCAAACGAACTTACGGAGAAGGAGGAGGTTCTTCGTTCGGCTTCTCACACGTGACATTATCACACAACCCTATGGGTGCTTAAGGTCACAATGGCAACCTGCTCAAGTACAGCGTCCTTACATAAAACGACTTTCATGAAAAAAAAAGAGCATTTTTGGACTTCAAAGGTGGAAGTTCACTTCGAACAAAGACTGTCCCTCTGCAATCATCTTTTATTTGGCATAATAACTGATGCTCTCCTCCTGTGACTGCAAACGTTTGCATTTGTGTGCTCTCTGCTGCCACTGGTAGACTGAAATCCGCAGCTCCTGGTAGATCGAAAAAGTTCCCCCTTCCTGGCCACACTGGTCTTCCAGTTTTAGAAATGCGGGGCCACTGGGGGTTTAATGTTTAACCCACCAGTAACTTCCTAAAGTCACGGCAGTAAACAAGCTGCCGCGATGCGATGATGAACGAACCAGCCCATACATTGGCGCGCCGGTTTGTTGGAGTTGAAGCTTGCGCTTCTACTCTTAAACCACCAGTACTTCCTACATTCGTGTGCCCGTTAACGCGCCACGATGTTAGGAAACGTACGGGCTACTACAGGAGCGCCCAACTTCATCCGACCAGAAATGTTTCTACTGTACTTTTTTCTGCGGCCGATAGCTGGGCCAAGTACTGGTGGTTAAAGTTTGCGCGGGCGATGTATGGACGGAGTAGTGGTGATTTAATTTACTCTGTTTTTCGTAGACCCACCAGTTGAGGTGGGTATTCAAAGTGCTTTCTTTTCCCGGTGTCAAATTGCTTTAGACCATCAGTTCACATGAAACTACATAGAGCTAGTACCGGTATACGCAGTAAGAGCACTTAGTCTTCGGGCCAAGGCAGGTAGCGAAAGCGGGAGGCCAATTTGAAAATCCGCAGGTATACGCAGTAAGAGCCACTGGTCTTCAGGTCATGGCGGGTAGCGAAAGAAGTAGGCCAGTTTGAAAATACGCAGGCCAGTTTGAAAATACGCAGGCTAGTTTGAAAATACGCAGTCGGGCTCGAGAGCCTTGGAAGGCAGATAAGGGCATATTCACACTAGGGGTCTAAAGTCGCAAAATCTGATGATGTTTTGCAGTCACACTTTCCCCCCACACCCAGCAAAACCACAAACAGTAGTATTTGTCAGCGGCCGAGCAATGGTAACGCGGATTCGAGTGCTTGGCCTATCAAAGCGGTACCACAGTGGCCACTGCCAAGCGAACCCTTCGAAGTCATGACCGTGCGGGCACAAATGTTATAGGAAAGGGAAAAAAGAAAAAAAGAAAAGAAAAGTTGAAAGCCCCATATAAAATATTCCACCATCTGCTATCAGCTGCGTGGCCACGCTGAGGGCATACTCACACGGGGACCTATAATCCCAAAATCCCAAAAAAAAGGGTAAAAGGTGGGTCACACAGATCTGCCAAATCCGCAAATGTATTATTCCAGTGCCCATTTGTCAGCGGCCTGGGAGCCGCGGGGCAAGGGATTTTGCGGTCAGGTGACCGCAAATCCCCTTTTTTGTTTTTGCATTTTCTTCAAAAATTGACAAAAATTCGTTCACAAAAGTTCGTGCACAATGGTGGATGGCGCCGTGTGACCAG